GCTATGGTGATGTGAGAGGGGGAGATAGATGCAGAGAGGAGGGGCACACGTTAGAAGGGACAGTTTTCCGATCACCACCTTTATCTGTCTCTCACCTCTACAGAGTGCGACCGCTGCTGCTTTTCAGAGGAAGCAGCCAAGGAGAAGCAGCGCATCTCGCTTGCTTGCTTTCCGCTTATGCAAGCAAGTGAAATGGGCAGGAGGACGAGATCGCAATTTCACGCTGATTCGCACCCTTGCCCATCTCGCTCGCTTGCTTTCCGCTTGCTTTCTGCAAGCAAGTGAGAGGGGAAGGAGCTCTTGGGGCCCCCGCACCCACCGTTAACCCTCCCACCACCATGCAGGGTAAGGTTGGCGCCCCCTACCCAGATGCCTTCGCCTCCCCGAAGCATTTTTTACTCACCTGCTTTCAGCTGCACTCCCTTTCTCCTTTTGTTTCTCTGCCTTCGTTTGCTTCTCTGCCTTGCAAGAAGTTAGAAAGTCTCATGGAACTTTTTTTTTGTCTCACAAACATATGATGGCCGAGAAGGACAGGAGAAAGGGAATGCTGCTGAAAGCAGGTGAGTAAAAAAACACTTGGGGGAGGTGAGGGCATTTGGGTGGGGGCGGGGGAAACCCAGGCAATGCATCGCGCAGCTCCAGTGGAATCTCCACTGAAGACTGCTTGAGGTTGCCTGCTACCCCCAAGGCTGCCGCCAATCAGCTGGAGCTGCGTGCTTTGATCCTGGGCTCTCAGTAGGACCCAGGCAACGTGCAGTTCCAGCTGACTTTGCCACAAGCCTGTGCGGCACTGCTGCTGCTTCACCTCATCCACTTTTACACTTTTTTTTACATTTTTTTTCAACCCGTCCTACGCGTACCACCAGCCAGGTGCTCGCGTACCACTGGTGGTACATGTACCACTGGTTGAAAAGCCCTGTTATAAGGAACAAACTGTGTTTGATAAGGCATTGTTAACCTCTGACGAGAAACTAATTAAGAAAATGTATAATTTTCTATTAACTTTGAAAATGGGAAGCGAACAAGTTAAAGAAACAATGATAAGGTAGACGAAACATTTTGGATACAATATAGAATTAGAAAAATGGCAAAATTTATGGGAAAGAAATTACAAACTGACAATGTCAACCTCCTACAAAGAAAATTTATATAAAATGTTTTATAGATGGCACTTGCCACCAGCAAGACTAGCAAAAATGTTCAAAAACATGTCAGATAGATGTTGCAAATGTAAATATAAGTCAGGCACTTATTATCATGTTTGGTGAACATGTGACAAAGTAAAGAGTTACTGGAAAAAGATACATACCTGACTAGAAAAGAAGTTCGGAGAACATGTAGATTTTAAACCTGAACTTTTTTTTATTAGATATATTGCCAGAAAAGACTAACAAACAAAGCTTATATTTGATTTTGCATGTCACAACAGCGGCAAGAATTATATTTGCGCAATACTAGAAAAATGAAAGAATACCATCAGATGAAGAAATAATTAAAAAAATACTAGAATGTGCAGAGATGGATAGACTGACTATGAGACTGAAAGAAAAAGAAGAAACGGAATATTATCAAACTTGGGACTTATTTTATCGATGGCTAGAGAAAAGAATAAAGGATTAGGAATTAAATATGTATTAGCGAATGTAAACTCAAACAGCACATTTGTTGAAAAATTATTACTGAATGTATGAAAAAAAACCCAATAAAACTCTCATAAAAAATATTTAGGAATACCTGTAGTTACACTTTCAATTGCCAGTCCTACCAGTAGCTGACATATTGAGCTACGTTCAAGGTCTATACATATGTTCACTAGGGGAGTATAGATCATAGGCAATCTGCTTAAATGTGGCAGACTTTCAACAGGGAAATATCTTAAAGGGGCACATTGCTTCTCCTTGATAAAACATGAAAGCAGTGCTAATTGGTCTCAGATGGCCAATCAATCTTGCTAACTGTGGCTACCTTGCCACTGATAAATGAGTGAAGCCAAATGGCATGCTTGTCGAAATCTTGTTGAAACAGGACATTGTCGTGTTTTGTGGCAAAGTTCTAAAGAGGAAATTTGCTTGAATATCCAACTAAGCAAAGTGCCCCTTCGGAAATGGACATAGCCTTAGTATTAAAAAAAACCAAACATTTTTGGACCCTAATAGGTGGAGGGTAAGATGCTTTACAATAAAATACAGGAAGTGTGCACTAAAAGGGGGTGTCTATAAACAGGCAGTTGTCTAGATATGGATAATGTACTTCGCAAGTGACAGATCCGTTTAGTCCTAGGAACCAGGAATCAGGAAATGTTGCAGAGGAGAAGAAGAATAAGAGCTCTTATTCATGGTACATACTGTAGATTCCCAAACTTCTAATTGCAAAACATAGGCTCACATTATGCTTGACCCACTATACCTATGAGGAGGTGGGATTCAGATATTTTTCTCTAATTCTACTAGTGTTCAAAGCATTATTGAAGCAATAAGCTTTAAAAAAAGTAAATATCCTGGAATATAAAACAATGTCTCTCAAAAAAAGATTAGACTGAAATTACAATATCTGCCTCTATTACCATATTCTCAACAGATCAAAAGCAATATCTTTGTTTTAAAAATAATATTTTAGGGGGAAAATCCTATTGTTTCTTTTAAACAAATGCATTTAGTTTAATAAAATTAATTAAACAAAATTCCATCTCGTATCACCTCTTGGGATATTTCATCAAAAGCATGAATAAACAAAACAATTTTAAATTCTTGTCCTGAATTCCAGGTCAAAATACACAACTTGCTTACTTAATTACTTATTAACTACATTTGATATTAATACTATTATTATTCATTAATTTACAGTCGGAGATCAAACCAATACATTTGATGAAAATTAAGCAGCCTTTCTTCTGATCATAGGAAAAGTATATAAGGTATCAATCTACTTTAAAAAAAAACCATGTTTTTCAGAGCCACTCATATATGTTATTGCAGGGGCAAATAAAGAAGCAGGATGAATCACTACAATTATTCTCAGCTTCACAATCTAGGGCTGTAAACTAAGTCAAACTAAAGTTTTATATCTGCACAAACGAATGAATGCCATTATTTACATAATTCATACATGAACAACAACAAAGCATGAAAAATTATGGTATTTTTTAATATATTACTAAACTGAAACATAAAATGTAAAAGACATGAGATACTTATAAAAGGCTCTATTTCTCAAATATATCATGATAGCAAAAGCGATTTACAGGTAGTCCTCGAGTTACGAATGTAATGGAGCCTGCCCATTCCATTCGTAACTCAAGGATTCATAGGAGTAAATCTCATACCTTGAAAGCGATTCACTCCCAGCTTTCACCCATGCATTCGCTAATTTAATGCGTGGGTGAATGAGTGGCTCCTTAAGTGAGCATGAGATATCTCACAGTGGGGAAAGCCATGGGGAGGGCCTAGTGCTTCCGACCACCCAAGGTCTCCCCTGACCCAGTGAAATACCTCATATTCCCGCCCACAATTGCTCACCCCATCCTGCCACGCCGGATCACTTACCTTGTGAAGATCTGTCTCCTCTCCAGCCTCTTTGTTTCTTCGTTTGCTTCCAGCAAGAGCAGAGGGAGGCCTCTGAGGACTAGAACGGACGTCTGGAAGCACCTGGCTGCCACCCATGGCCTCCGTTCTGGGCCTTTGGAGCCCTCTGAAGTGTCCCCCAGTGTCCTTTCCAGGCCCAGAACGGAGACCGTAGGCAGTGGCCATGTGCTTCCGGAGGTCTGTTCTGGGCCTCAGAGGCCTCCTCCAAGCCTCCAAGGCCCAGAACGGAGGCCGGGAGAGGCTTTGCATGCCTCCTGAGGTCTGTTCTCCCTCGGCTTCCATTCTGTTGCAGAGAACAGAGGCCTAAACTACTGTGAAACCAGTAGCATGAGATCTCGCGCCACTGATTTCTTGGGATCTTGCATTTCTTTAGGCCTCCATTCTCTGCGAATGCACCAAAGGAAGCAGCGAAACAGTCAAGAAAGTGAAGGATCTCTTGATCTTTGCAAGGTGAGTATCCATAGGCCTAGTGCCTAGGGAGACCCAGGGGGAAGAAGGAGGGAATAGCTAGGGTGACTCTTGCAGTGGCACTGAGATCGTTCTTAAGGGCGAATGACGGCCGTGGTATGGCAATATTCGTAATTTTGGGACTTTTTCGTAAACACTAGGGAGCGCTTATTGCATAACTTCGAACATTTGCTAAGGGAACGCTCGTAACTTGGAGATTACCTGTACACTAGAGAAAATCAGCAGTAATAAATATAACCTACACAGTATTGTTCTACATAGAATACTGAGTTCAGCAGTAATCTTTCATGTCAGTCAAAATGCCCTTTGCAAAGTAATAGTTTTTAGAAAGCAATATGATAAAATAAATTGTGGTTTTCCTTGCACTGATGGGCAATGCATAGCATCCTACATTCTTAAGTTCTAATTCCTTTTGCAATCAAGCAGTTCTGACTTCTCTCAAATTAATTTGTGCCTGCTATGTGATTGGGGAACCAAGGCAGGACAGGCTATCGGATAAAGAGTCTGAGGTTCCATCTATTCTTGCTCTGTTCTGCACTTACTTAAGAACCCAGCAATTATTTCTTAAGGTGACCTAAATGTGCTTGTTTCATTTAAGGATAGAATAGCTGCATTCAATTATTATTTTTTGTGCCTCTCAGTGAGGTTTCAACTTCTGGCAACCTCCTGGACTGGTACCTGCAATTTTCTTGGTAAGGTTTTTCAGAAGTGGTTTCCCACTGCCTGCTTCCTAGGGATGACAGAGAATGACTGGCCTAAAATCAGCTAGCTGAATTTATGCCTAAAGCAGAACTAGAAGTCGTGGTTTTCTGGGTTTAAACATAATGCTTTAACCCTTACACTAAAGTGGCTCTCTAAATTATTGTTTGTTTTGCCTAAAAACTCCACCCTTTTCTCCCCTTTTAAATTTACATATATGAAAAAATAAACATATTATAAACAGTCACGTACCTCTTCAGGTCCCAGACTTTGCTTGTTTCATCCATAGAGGCAGATGCGACAAAATCACCACATGAATGCCAAGAACAATCCAACACTGCATAACTATGACCTTCTAGTGTTAGAATGCAGCCACCCTTTGTGAAGTCCCATACACGAACTGTTTTGTCTCCACTTGAAGTAACAAGTTTGGATCCACTGTCATGGAAAAACATAAATCTAAATTAGAACTTTAGGGAAGTTCTTGCACAGCTGTTCAACTAAATTTTCCAAGTCAATATGATGAAAATCTCCATTTTTCACACTACTAGTATTGTTATTACTATTATTTATATATATTTTTCAAATGCTCAAAGAAATGTAATACTTTATATTTTTACTTTATAAGAATATACAGTATACTGTTGATTGAAGCTGTGGGAAAGGTTGGCTAATCTTGTTTAAGTACTAATCTTGTTTAAGTTTAATGACAAAGCAGAGTAAGGTACAACTCAAACATGATGGAAGAGGAATTCAGCTTATGTGTGATCCCAGTAATATACAGAGGACTGGTTCCATTTTTTTAAAGCTAGGCTTTCAAGAAGGAAACTAATTTTTCTACTTAAAATGTGTTATAGTTTAAACCAAGCACACACAGACACACACATATAACTTTTAATGTTTAAAAATTATTTCCATTACAGTATTAAATTCTTAACAACATCAGCATTTCCCTGAAAACTATTTGTCTAACAAATTGGAAAAATAAAGAAAAAAATTCAAATCAAGTTGAATACACCTACATATCCATCTGCATGTATTATTATTGTTACATAATATAATTCATATAGGAGTTTAATAGAAGTCTGATTAAAAAAAGAAGTTGAATCAAATGTCTGATTAAAAAAGAATGCATTTATTCTCAAAATGTATATGCCACCAACTGTTCTGATTCCAGGTAGTTTACAAAATAGACAAATGCCAATAAAAATAATAAAATCCATTCATAGCACAAATAAATAATAAGTAAAAGTATTAAAAACTACAAATAATTCCATTGCTGAGTTAAATGTTATTAAATGCTTTAATGACATAAATAAATAAACAAACTAACAAATAAATAAATAAAACACTCTCTGAAAGAGGAGTGTTTTTATCATCATCTGAAACATTACCAAATAGGACAGAGGTGTCAAACTGCTGGCCCGCGGGCCGGATACGTCATGCCAAAACCACGCCCACCCCAGCTCCAGCAATGTGGAAAAAGTCACGATATGTTGCGACACATCACGTGATGTTGCGAGTTTGACATTCCTGAAATAGGGCATACCTAAATGTTGGTTGTGAGGGAGGAAAAAATGTTCAGATATTTAGGTCCCAGTCACCCTGCTTTCTTGAATTGCCAGAGTTTCCTCTTCCTATTAGATTATGTAAGTTAGGCATGGAGAAAATAGTTCTGACCTTTTAATTGGACCTCAGGGCTTACTGACAATCAGTGTACTTTCCGCATAACAGGTGCTATTTTGATAAACCAGTTAATACTAGTCACCATGTTCTGTTTCAAATGAGATACAAGATCTCACTTATTCCTAGATACAGAGTAGTTTGAAGTAATTGTATATCTAGAAAAAAGTTAGATCTTGTTATCATAGATAACTTTTTTCCTTTATTTCCTTTATTAAATGATTATTCTTAAACTGTTACTCTCAAGGCATTGTAAGAATTATGTATGTGTGTGCTTTGAAAATGACTGAAATTGACAAATATCATAAATAGATATGTAGTATTAAGGATACATACATATGAAACCCAATGTGATACAATGGTTAAAGTATTAGACAGGGAGTAGAGAGATCAGGTTTTAGTCTTCCCTTAGGCATAGAGGACAGCTGGGTGAAATTAGTCCAGTTATTCTTTCTCAGACCTAATCTAAATATGCAGTTCATCCCTCCATCCTATTGGACAGAATGGTAGATTACAGTCCATAATCTTCAATAAAGAGGCCTTTATCCTATAGGGGATTGATTTGGATTGATGACTATGTAAAAACAGAAAGACAAGAGATCCAAGAAGAAACCACCATGGTTGCATAAAGATCTCTCTGATAAATTGAAAGAAAAAAAGGATAAGTATGAAAAATGGAAAGAGGGACACATAACTAAAGCAGAATGCCAGTATGTAGCTAGAATCTGCAAAAATGAAATCAGGAAAGCTAAGGCTTGCAACAAATGTTAAAAATAATTTTAAAAGTTTATTTCAACATGTAAAAAAACAAGAAAAAAGTCAAACCCACTAATGGGAGAAGATGGCAAGGAAGTGATGGGTAGCAGAGAAAAAGCTCAATTTGTTCTTTGCATCTGTCTTCATGAAAAAGCAAAAAATAGCCCAATCTACCAAAAGCAGAACTGTAAAAGACAGAGTAGGAATATAAGTCAAAATAGGCAAGAAAATGGTAGGACAATACCTGTCTACCCTAGACAAGTTCAAATCACCAGGACCAGATGGAGTAAATCCCAGATTTCTGAATGAGCTGGCAGACATGATCTTGGAACCATTGAACCATATTTTAGGAGTCCTAGTGGACAACCACTTAAGTATGAGAACCAGCAGTATGCCGCAGGTGCCAAAAAAAGTCAAAAAAGTCCTAGGTTGCATCAAGAAAGAAATAGTATCAAGGTCATGTGAAGAATTAATACTGCTATATACTACTTTTGTGAACCATACTTGAAACTGTGTCCAGTTCTGGTTGTTGTTTTAACCATTCATAGAACATAGAATAATAGAGTTGGAAGGGACCTTGGAGGTCTTCTAGTCCAACCCCCTGCTCGAGCAGGAGACCCTATATCGTTTCAGACAAATGGTTATCCAGTCTTTTTTGAAAGCCTTCAGTGGTGGAGCACTCACAATTTCTGAAGGCAAGTTATTCCATTGGTTAATTGTTCTCACCATAAAGAAATTTCTCCTTAGTTCTAGGTTGCTTCTCTCCATAATTAGTTTCCAACCATTGTTTCTTGTTTTGCCTTTTGGTGCTTTGTAAAATAGTTTGACCCCCTCACCCTTGTAGGAGCCCCTCAAATATTGGAACAGTACTATCATGTCCCCATAGTCCTTCTTTTCATTAGAGGACTGGAGGCTAAAACATATGAAGAATGGTTACAGGAATTGGGAATGTCTAGTATAATGAAAAGAAGGACTACCATGGGGTAGTTTTGTATATAACCCCAACTACACTCACATTTACTGTTTGCTGATGATCAAGGCAGGTATGTAATTGTGTAAATTGAATTACAGGAATAAAATCTATTGTGGTAGGATTATACACCCCACATTAAAAAAGCCAAGTTTTTAAACATCTGTCAGAATACTTACTCTCCTATCTTTTTCAGTATTGATGTGTAATTAGAGACTACAATGTGGTTAGTAACCTCACAACTGGATAGATCAGCTGATAAAGGAATTAAAGAAATACAAGGGAAACTGCCCCAAACTTTTCTTGAGCTGACCGATACTTTAGGTTTGGAGATGTAAAAATGGACTAACAAAAGATTTTATCTTCTTTTCAGAGAGACACAAATCCTTTCCTAGAATTGATATGATTTGAATTACAAATAATCTGCTTCACAAAGCAACTAATGCTATTATTCTTCCAAAAACGTTTTCTGACCATAGGATTATATACATGAAGACCAGTGTGTTTCTTACCTATAGTAAAAGACAACTAAAAGATAATGTAAGAGTGATTTTGAATATAATTGAATATGTTAGAGAATTTTAATTTCTCTATTGGTGAAAAATATATCAGAAGCTCTCACAGTTGACTGCATTTAGCTGATTCAAATAACTCCTTTATATTCATATCAAAATATTTACAATACCATACATTCTTCTTTACAGCATCATAGCACAATGAAGACTTCTTACAGAGAGATACAGAGACAAAACCAGAGACTGAAAAAATCCAGCTCCTAACTCAATAACCTTTTGCACAGACTCAGTAGCACTTTCTTCACATTGGCTGACTGAGTTACCACATGACTCTTCCTGCTCATGAATATTCCAACACTCGTCCCTTCATGACAGGAAGAGACATCAGACCTATTGACTTAATACATTTTCCATAGTGAACACCACCCAATGGTTTAGTCATCATGTCTGCCAAATTATCCTCAGAAGAACAATGATGTAAACTAATCAATTTTCCTTTTGCAGCTTCCCTGACATTACAATACTTAATGTCTACATATTTACTTCTGTTCTTCACCCTATCACCAGTTGCCATTTTTATACAGGCAGTATTGTCTTCAAATACCTTTACAGATTCTTTTACATTAATATTTAAATCTTGCAACAACTGTACATACCATGTTACTTCAGAACACAATTCAGATAAAGCAATAAACTCTGCTTCCACTGTTGAAATAGCAACAGTTGTTTGTTTTCTGGACTTCCATCCAATTAGAGTCCCTCCAAACAATATTATAATCCCAGAATTTGATTTCCTTGTGTTTATGTCATTTGCATAGTCACTATCGACATAACACTTTAATTTCAATTCCTCAGTAATCTGTATTTGAAGACCCAAATTTATAGTTCCCTTTAAATATCTGAGAACCCTTTTTACACCCATCCAATGTAATTTTGTAGGTGCAGCAGTAAAACGACTCAAAATGCTTACTGCGCAAGCTATGTCTGGTCTGGACCACTGTGATAGATATAACAAACTCCCTATTGCTGAGTGATATATCTCTTGATCACAGGTTTCACCTTTGTCCGCACTTAAACTATTATAAAAATCCGTACTCATGGGTGTGGGAGCAGTATTGCAATCTTTCATATTATATTTCTCCAATAACTGCTCAATTTTTCTCCTTTGACTGAGAATATAACCACCTTTTTCATTTTTCTGTATCTCTACACCGAGATAATTTTTTATTTCTCCCAAATTCTTTAATTCGTATTTCTTTCCTAATTTATCAGCAAATTCCTTGACTTGTGATGCATCCTTTGCGATGAAGCAAAGATCATCCACAAATGATAACAGTAGACAATTCCCTCCTTGTAACTGTCCAGTATATATACAATTATCAGCTTTGCAACTCTTAAATCCAAGACCCTTTAAAGCAGTACCTAAACAGATATTCCAGTTTCTGGCTGACTGCTTCAGTCCATAAATAGCCTTGTTTAATTTATACACCATGCTAGGTTTTGCAATTTCATAC